TGAGGCTCCAATGAAAAAATTAAACTATTAAAGTATACGATGATTTTTGAATCATCACTGTCAATCTTGGAAATCGCCCAGATCATTTTATAAACGAGAACATGAAATAAACGAGTTGATTTTTGATCAAACATGAAATATGTGTACTCCACAAACAAATGATCAAGAAATAATTCTGAGTTCTAATCACACTAATTTCACCCATCCCAAAAAAATGACTTCGCAACAGGAGCTGAAACGATGAGATGACATAAAAATTTCACGTTCCGTCCACTGCAGAACGTAGGCCTCCCTCTGTCTTTGTCAAGATTCTCTATGGGCAGTCTCTCTCTTCCAGGCAACGCCTAGCCAATCCACAAGCTCCTTATCCCATCGATCGTGAGAGCGCTTTCTTTGGTCTTACCTTGTCTCTGGGCTCCCAATCACGAACCACATCTGACCAACGCTCATCTCTTATTCAGGGCTAGATGGCCTGCCCATTTCCACTTTGACCTTTTCACACACTCCACGACATCCTTCAAGCTTTGTTTGACCTCCATCCAGCTGCAGCGTATTCCATCTCGTATGGTTAGGCCCATCATGTAGCTTTCTATAATCCGCTAGGTTGTTCGAAGCTTCTGGATGGAGCAGATGTCAGGTCCAAGTTTCCAGCTGGCGTAGGTAATCGCTGGTAAAACGCATTAGTCAAACACTTTGCTCTTCAAGGATAGTGGCATATCTGATTTGAAGATGTGTTTCAGTCGGCCAACTGTACCCCAGCTATTCTGGTTCTTTGCATGATCTCCGGTGTAATATCCTCGTCTCCAGTGACAATCTGTCCCAGATATGTGAAAGATACTGCTATTTCTAATGGTGATCCGTCCACTTCCATTTGCTCTCTGGTGCAGAAAGAGTTCAGCATCATCTTTGTTTTTGCGAAGAGGTTTATTTCCAGCCCTATTTCCTTGCTCACGATGTTCAGTTCATTTATGCGCTCTTGAAGATCGGTAGCATCGTGGGAAAACAGGACTATATCATCAAAGAACCTCAAGTGACTAAGGTAGCGGCCATTTATCTATTTATTGTTATATATATATATATATATATATATATATATATATATATATATATATATATATATATATATATATAACAAGATGGTTATTGACGGTCATTCAAGAAATGAGAAATATACCAACGTTAGAAATATGCTACCACAAGGTAGCATATTAGGATGTATTCTATTTTTGCTGTACATAAATGATTTAACAGGTGTTACTGGATTTGGAGAACTGATGATATTGTTTGCTGATGATATCAATGTATTACTGTAGGATGAAAATCTTCAAGAACTGATTGACAAGGTGTCTGATGCCTTTGTAAGGATTCAGGAATGACTACAATTTCGTAAACTCAAACTCAATACTGAAAAAACGAGTATTATATACTTCAGAGACCCAACATTCAACAAAAAATATCCCAAGAGAGATAATGATTGATGGGAGACAACCTCAGTCTTCAAAAACCAGCAAAATTCCTAGGATTGACACTGGATTAACATCTTACATGTAGACAACATATAGAAATTACTAACAGATGCTTAAATTCAGTATGCTATACCATCAGAGTCTTAGCAAAATACCTAAGGAGAGATATATTAAAAACCATATAATTTGCCAACTTCGAATGAAGACTGAGGTTTGGCATCATCTTCTATGGATCCCATAAAAGTATTAAGGACATCTTTGTAACTCAAAAAGAAGGTAATGAGAATAATGTTTGGAGTTAAAGTAGAGAATCCTGTAGAGGTTTGTTTAAAAACAACAAAATTTTAACAGTGTATGCAGTTTACATCAAGGAATGTCTGAACTTAATAATGTATAACAAAATAAACACCTTTTTGAAAGTTACTCAAGTCAAAGCAGTTATGAAAATAGAGAGACACAATATATTTATCCTATACATCACCTTACTATGACAGAGAAAAGCTGCCACTATTCCTGCTTGAGGATTTTCAATAAACTTCCCAATTCCATCAGAAGGAAAGAAATATCAGAAAGTACAAAAAAGCAATATACGAATTTTTACTTGAATTAGAGCCATATGATTTGGGTGAATTTTATACTGGTTAAATTGTAAATTTTTTTTGACACTATTTTCTTTTTACTATTTGTAGTAACTAGAAATAAAGATCTATTCTATTCTATTCTATGCTATAGAAAAACAACAACGTAAAATTCTTGAAATATTTACAGACCAATCAATAGAAACGACATTTGAATTAAAAGACCTCAGAATGAACTTCATCAAAAGACAAATACGATAACGGAAGAAATCAGCAAACGACGAGGAAAGTTCTATGCACATGTCTACAGAATGAGAGAATACCGAAGAAACTACTTTCAATATAATTATGAAGAGTAAATGCGGAACAGAGTGGCTTAAAGAGGTCCAAGAAGGTCCACAACAGATTAATATAAACAATCTCGAAGATCGCACTGAATGTCGCTATAAAATGGCACATGTGAAGTTTGAGCAAAAATCAAATCGTCAACCTCGAATGAAATGGACAGATAAACGGAAGAATAAGCATTCGAAGAGAACTGAAGCGTTTTTGGGAGGCAAAAAAGATGAAGCAAAAGTCCTCAGAATTGCGAATTTCAAGTTCAATCGTCATTGGGAACAATCGTAATAATAATCAGAGTCGAATTATCAACTGCATTATAAATTCAGAAATGTAATATTGTTTCAGGATGCGCTCTGTGACAAATAACTAATTCGTTTTATAATCTCTCATTTCGTCAAACTTTATTGACTTCATGAGGAGAACCTAAAACAACATCGAATGATGGAGAAAATAATAATAAATTGTACTCACAAAACATAACGTTAGCCACCAATATAAAATAAATAAAACATGTTGGGGTGCTTGTTTGGTCAGCACGATTTGAATAAAACTAACGTAAAAAATAAATCATACGACATAAATTAAGGAACAGATGGTTTTACATGTCCACAAAGAAAAACAAGCAAAAAAAAGTTCACAATATCAACGATGAAATCAATTTTATATAAAATTATAGAAAAAATTAAATCTAGCCACACCTACAGAAAGCTATATTCTTAATCTTTTGAAAAATATTACAATATATGTTACTCAATCGTCCTGTATCCGATTTGTAATTCACAATGTTATCTTTTTTGTTTATATGATATATTTCGAGGAACAATCTGCTCTATAATTGTTTTCACGTTTCAATAGTTTTGCCCTAGAAATGTCAAAGCACTGACCAATTTGTTGATGGTGTTATACCACTGCACAAGTATTCTTTCCAAGCCGACAGTCACTCTTAATATTAATCACTATTTATGCCACTGTGATGTCTGTTCCACATAACATTTGTGACATTGTGCAAGGAAGTTCGTAAATGACGTTATTGTTTTGTACTAGGGGTGTTTTATTTTTAATTTTGGAGATCATAATTAATTAGGATATTGTACTTCACGAATTTTGAATGTGGAAAATTCTTAAAAGTGGAAATTATTTGTTGAGACAGTTTATCCATAAATGGAATTTTCTTGAAGAAATTAATGGTCGAGTCTTCAATTTGTCCATCGAAAATATTGGAATAGTATATTACTTTCATAAAAATATATTTCGGATATCCGTTGTTCACAAACATAACAAATAGTTTGTTCAAATTTTGTGTCAAAAAGGATTCCTAACTACTATGTGTCATCCTATTTTTCATGTTTATCAGTGTGTTGTATTTGTGTTTGGTGGGATGATATGAGTAATAACTAATGAATCTAGCAGATTCCATGTCTTTTCGGTGCCAGTCCAAAATTATTTCATTGTCCTTAGTTCTGATAACCTTCGTATTCAAAATCCACTCCAAGCTCAGTTTCTCGACCGTTTCTCGGCTGGGAAAAGCGTTCTAAAAATTCACGTCACACAAACCGTCCGACTTTCCAATATCGAGACCCCTTGTGGTCCTTTCTGTCGTAGGCATCTCAACGGGCGTCGTAATGCCTCACATACGGCACAATACGGACCTTGTTGGATTGCGGCAGACGCTCCTTTGAAAAGGTTCAAAGAAAGCCGACAATTCTTTCGACGAAAGCAAACGGCTTAGAGTGGGCCGCGTCAGTCAGTTCAATAAAACCTGTTCGAGCGTGTCGACATTCTAAATTGAATTCTACCGGTTGAACCCTGTTTATTCATGCGACGTGGGTGGGGCGCAATCCGTGTTTGTTTGAAATATGCATATTTATCAGTCATGAATTAAAAGATAGCGGTTAGGCTTTCGTAGAAAGGGGTGAGATCTAGTGGGAGTTCGTCGACATGTTTGATCTGAATTATGTTGGGGTATGCTTTATTATACTTCCATTTTGTCCTCAATTTACTCGTCAGATTACTTGTAAATGTGATTTATTTGGGATATTATTATCGTGTTTTCACTTAACAATTTTCATGGGTGCAAGGATGAGAATTACATACTCAAAGGTTCCATTAAATCCATTAAAATAATGTAAATAATATTTTCGTAATCAAAATTGTGATCCGAGTCTTGACATGCTCAAGATTGTTGATAATGGAGACATCAGATCGTAGACGTCCACATATCTAGCTCTACTATAACATTCTCTTGGTTAATTTGAATTTTGAAATGAATGTTCTAGTGTTCATTTTCTGAATATTTCATTCAGTGCCATAAGCACAAAAAATTTCATTTCCTTATATATATATATATATATATATATATATATATATATATATATATATATATATATATATATATATATATATATAAAAGAAAATCGTGTCAGTTACACTATTTATAACTCAAGAACGGCTGTACCGATTTGGCTGAAAATTGGAGAGGAGGTAGCTCAGAGCCAGGAGACGGACATAGGATACTGTTTATCCCGTTCGACAGCGTTCCCGTGTAACTTGACATAAAACGTCAGTCACTATAAAATATCGATTAAATCTGTGCTTTCTCAACACTAATTAGCAAGTATCGGTGGTTCAGCTGTAGAATGCTCGCCTACCACGCAAGCGACCCGGGTTCGATTTCTGGCCCAAACAAATTAGACTTTTTACTTCAATGACAAAATTTTTCACGAATTTCATTCAATACTCACGTATATTGAAGTAGTGTATATACAAACCAGTTCTATAAATTACTAAATACATTGCATAATTATAAAGCACTCGAATATTCAATTCATATCAAGAACATACTCTATTGAAAACAAAACACATTATATTCTTTTAAAATAAATTCAATTAATTGTTAAATTTAGGTCAATGACACTTCTGAGGCTGTTCTTTGAACATTTTCACAAATTTTATCATTAGTATATATATATATATATATATATATATATATATATATATATAAAAGAAAGTTGTGTTAGTTATACTATTTGGAACTAAAGAACGGCCGAACTGATTTGGCAGACTGAACTGAAAATTGATTGGAAGGTAGCTTGGAACCAAGAGAAGGACATAAGATACTTTTTATCACGTTTCCGTCGGACGTGACATAAAACGTGGAATAACAAAACGGATATACCAACAAGTATAATTATGTCGGAAGGCATTTTACATCAAATTCGTGTCAGTACAAGAAACCCCGACCTTCAGATGAATGAGAAGATACATAATCGGGCTTTGAAATTGATGGAAGACATGTGTTACCTCATGTTCGGTAATTTATCATTCAGGTTAGGAATAAAAAAAAAGACAAATCGTGAAATGAATGACGCATTCAATCAAGAATTTGAAGGAGAACTTTTCCGTTGACTTGAATATGATCACCAGGAATTAGATTTAATAGTTCAAACGAATGTACCCCTGTTGAATCACCAACAAAAGGAAGTTTATGATACAATGATGAACGCAATTGATGATGGAAATGGTGGTTTATATTTCCTGGATGCCCCTGGTGGAACTGGACATTCCTCATGTCAGTAGTTTGAGCCACTGTTAGTGCGAGATATAACATTGCGGTTGACGATACTCAAAGCAAAATTCGAAGGTGAGGAAGTTCTCATTCCAAGGATCCCGATGATACCAACATGCCGTTTGAGTTATTAAACGACTCCAATTTCCGATCCGACTTGCATTCGCCATGACATTAAACAAAATCACACGGCCAATACTTAAAAGTTTGTGGTCGGAATTAAGAAAATCCATGTGTTTCCCATGCTCAATTACGATTATATGTGGCATGTACACGGGTGGCAAGGCCATCTCCGCTATTTGTTCTTGCATCTGATAATAAATTGAATAATGTCGTCTATCACAAAGTGCTTCACTAAAGAGTGGAACCTATGCAGTTAGATATATGGCCAATAAAGAATCATTAAAATACTTGCTTTTTTAATTAACAATAATTATCGAAATGAAAAATTGACCTTGATAAAGTCTGCTCATTTATTGCCTCTGAGGTAGAACAAAGTTAACCGGGGCAGCTAGTATATATATATATATATATATATATATATATATATATATATATATATATATATATATATATATATATATATATATATATATATATATATATATATATATATATATATATAGATATATATATATATATATATATATATATATATATAATGGTATATTGTTCCGGGAATACATCCGTTGGTTTGTTGTGTGCCTGTTGGGAACAGGCAGACGTTTCGTCAAGGTCTCACTTGACATTATCAATGCTTCAAATGATGGTTATCGATTACTCGGAGTCTGGTGACTGAAAGAGAGATCGGTTTGCTGGCTACCTGTATTTATACGTTTTCGTCGCTGTCGGAATTATATCTGTCCTGATTGGTTAGCGGTAGCGGTGGCCCCGCCTCTCCTCAACTGACTGGTCTTGGATTCTCCTCTTGTCTGTTTTGATCTTTCCGTAGGTTGGTGAATTTCGGTGTGTCGTCTCGTTATTGTTTTCCAGGTACTCGACAACTTCAGGGTATCGTCTTTCTTGTTCAAATGACCAATCTTCTCTATTTCGATGGCTTTCTAATTAATCGGGTCTTGTAATTTTCGACGTTTGCAATTTGTTTACCACTGTCGAAGTTAATTTTGTGGCCGGTTAGGTGTTCGTGTTGAAATAGAGCCGATGATAGTTGTTTGTTTTTTATGGAAAGTTTGTGTTCTTCTAACCTAGAGGAGATTCTACGGTTCGTTTGGCCGACATAGCTTTTGTTACATGTTCCGCATGTTACGCTGTACACACCCTGGTTTTCTAGTGGGATCTTCTGTTTAGGATTTCTCAATTTTGTTCTGATGGTTTCAAGTGGTTTAAATGTCGTTGATATATTACATTTACGAAGAATCCGTCCAATCCTGTCAGTTGTTCCCTTGATGTACGGTAAGACGGTTTTAAATTTGCCTTCGGAATCTTCTCTTGGTTTATTTCCCAGATTTTGTTGCAGATCAATCGCTTTTTTAATTGTTTTCTGTTTGTATCCATTTTGTTCAAGGGCTGCGGTAATTTTGTCAAGTTCTTGGGCTTTGTGGTTGTTGTTCGTAAGACGCAGTGACCTGAAATCAGTGTGTTTGCAACAGCTTGTATCTGCGATGGATGGTGGTGGGATTCGGCGTTTAGGTATCTATTAGTGTGAGTTGGTTTCCTATATACAGTGTGTCCCACTTGCCATGTTCACCTCTCATAACAAGTACATCGAGGAAGGGTAATTGTTGTTATACTCAAGCTCTATAGTGAAGTTTATTCGTGGGTGGATTGAATTCAGATGGTCCAGGAATTCTAGAAGTTTGTCTTTACCGAACGACCATACGACGAACACATCGTCGACGTATCTTTTCCATATTTTTGGTTTTAGATTTGTCAATTGTACAGCTTTCTTTTTCAAAATAATTCATGAAAAGATTATTACTGCGGGTGACAGTGACGATCCCATTGCTGTCCGTCAACTTGTCGGTACATTTGGCCACCGTGCATGAAGTAGGCGTTATTCAAACAATGTTTGGACAGCTCTATGATATGCGTTGGAAGTGATTCGTTTTCTGCTATTTGTTGTAGGGCTTCCTCTACCGGTATGCTCGGATAGAGATTCGACGTCGAAACTTGCGATGATGTCATGTTGATCTATGGTGAGAGAGTCTAACAAGTGAGTGAAGTGCTCTGAGTTTTGATATAACTTTTAGACGACCCAAGATATAAAGCTGTCTCCAGAGACCCCACTACATACTTGGAAAAGACAACTAAGTCCAAAATCGTTGAATCGCCAATAGACGAACAAACCAAGAAGAAAACTAATACCTAGGGAAAAAATCAAGCAGATGCCCAAAATTCTACGGCCTCCCAAAAATCCACAAAGACGGAGTCCCTCTTCGACCTATCGTCAGCGCTTTCAACTCTCCAATATATAATTTAGAAAATATCTGGCTAGTATACTACAACCCATAGTGGAAGGAGCAGATTCTTATATCAAAACTCAGAGCACTTCACTCACTTGTTAGACTCTCTCACCATAGATCAACATGACATCATCGCAAGTTTCGACGTCGAATCTCTATATCCGAGCATACCGGTAGAGGAAGCCCTACAACAAATAGCAGAAAACGAATCACTTCCAACGCATATCATAGAGCTGTCCAAACATTGTTTGAATAACGCCTACTTCATGCACGGTGGCCAAATGTACCGACAAGTTGACGGAGCAGCAATGGGATCGTCACTGTCACCCGCAGTAGCCAATCTTTTCATGAATTATTTTGAAAAGAAAGCTATACAATTGACAAATCTAAAACCAAAAATATGGAAAAGATTCGTCGACGATGTGTTCGTCGTATGGTCGTTCGGTAAAGACAAACTTCTAGAATTCCTGGACCATCTGAATTCAATCCACCCACGAATAAACTTCACTATAGAGCTTGAGTATAACAACCAATTACCCTTCCTCGATGTACTTGTTATGAGAGGTGAACATGGCAAATTGGGACACACTGTATATAGGAAACCAACTCACACTAATAGATACCTAAACGCCGAATCCCACCACCATCCATCGCAGATACAAGCTGTTGCAAACACACTGATTTCCATGTCACTGCGTCTTACGAACAACAACCACAAAGCCCAAGAACTTGACAAAATTACCGCAGCCCTTGAACAAAATGGATACAAACAGAAAACAATTAAAAAAGCGATTGATCTGCAACAAAATCTGGGAAATAAACCAAGAGAAGATTCCGAAGGCAAATTTAAAACCGTCCTACCGTACATCAAGGGAACAACTGACAGGATTGGACGGATTCTTCAAATGTAATATATCAACGACATTTAAACCACTTGAAACCATCAGAACAAAATTGAGAAATCCTAAACAGAAGATCCCACTAGAAAACCAGGGTGTACAGCGTAACATGCGGAACATGTAACAAAAGCTATGTCGGCCAAACGAACCGTAGAATCTCCTCTAGGTTAGAAGAACACAAACTTTCCATAAAAAACAAACAACTATCATCGGCTCTATTTCAACACGAACACCTAACCGGCCACAAAATTAACTTCGACAGTGGTAAACAAATTGCAAACGTCGAAAATTACAAGACCCGATTAATTAGAGAAGCCATCGAAATAGAGAAGATTGGTCATTTGAACAAGAAAGACGATACCCTGAAGTTGTCGAGTACCTGGAAAACAATAACGAGACGACACACCGAAATTCACCAACCTACGGAAAGATCAAAACAGACAAGAGGAGATATCCAAGACCAGTCAGTTGAGGAGGCGGGGCCACCGCTACCGCTAACCAATCAGGACAGATATAATCTCCGACAGCGACGAAAACGTATAAATACAGGTAGCCAGCAAACCGATCTCTCTTTCAGTCACCAGACTCCGAGTAATCGATAACCATCATTTGAAGCATTGATAATGTCAAGTGAGACCTTGACGAAACGTCTGCCTGTTCCCCAACAGGCACTCAACAAACCAACGGATGTATTCCCGGAACAATATACCATTATATTTTTCCATCCGTGAATCTCTACGTTCAAACATATATATATATATATATATATATATATATATATATATATATATATATATA